TCTTAACTTAAATGATCTGATATCAATTCATAAAAAGGTGGAATCGATCTTTCGATATGTGCCTTTTCCCATCTTGACCCCACATTTTAGCGAGTTGTTTCTCTCATCTCTTATCTGTGTGTGGAGATGAAGCGAGACAGTTTCCCCTCACACACAAACAATATTATTACGATAATTTACTTTCTGCTTTTGGACAGTTTCATTGACATTTTCTTTCTATTTTCTGACTTTATGTATAAACTTATTTCTCAAGACAATAATCATCTGAATAATCTGCAGAATAGTTGTTAGTTGTTTCTCCAGTATGTACTGCATTACTTTATATACTGTCATTACACAGTTTTGTACAGAACTTGTATTTTTACTTCCTGAATGGCACAGTGGGATTAGCACCTCTACATAGCTGCAAACAAGCTGATGTTTTCATGATACTCATTTCTTTTGTGTTGGGTTCTGCTGCAGTCCACCATCTGCCTCATCATCCCACAGAAAGCTCCATAATGTTTGGCTGTTATTCGCTCCAGGGAGAACAGCTAAGTGCATGAGCACAACTACCTCTCCTTGCACTGCCATGCAGAACACAATGACATTTACTTGATATGGCTACGTTGTTGTCCAGTGGTTTAGGTACAGTGACAACTGTGAGCTTGGGTCTTGTGGCAGTGGAGGAGGAGGAAGGGGCCAGAATAAGAAGAGGTGGGATGAGGGGAGGACAAAGAGATTTACAGCAGAAAGGTTGAAGCAGAAAAAGTCAGGGAAACCTCTGAAGCAGCTTCAGTCCCACTGAATCGCTTTTAATCTTTCACTCGAAATCCTGATGAATCAACCACAAACGCATGAACATCATTTGATCCAGTTTTAATGAATGTAAACATGCAATACAAACACATAGCATGTTGTTCAGACTTTCCTTAATATATATTAATATAAATCTGTAAATTTTGCATCGGTGCATCTGTCTTTTTAATTTATTTGATAGATGTGTGTGTGTGTGTGTGTGTGTGTGTGTGTGTGTGTGTGTGTGAGTGTGTGAGTGTGAGTGTGTAAGAGAAAGAGAGGTAGAGATGGGGGAAGGGAGAGGGCTGAGGGGGATTGAGAGGGAAAGGACATTTTTCATTCTGTGTTCTGTGTTATCTTACAAGGCATTTCAAGGACAGGGGCTCCAGTGGTGCAGAGAGAGCTGAGCAGTTTTAGTGTGTTGGGAGAATCCCAACAAACATCTGATGGGAGGAGGATATACAAATAGATCTTGATAGTGTCTTTAATTTCAGCTGCAGTCGTTTGAATGTGAACTGGGAACAAAAAAGAACAAAAGTGTAACCGATATATGAGCCTTTCACAGACATGTGTGGTGTTCATCAGTGTTCATTTTTCTTGAAATCTTGAATTTTACAGAATAAATAATGCAGAAAAGAATGTATGCATATATTCTCCATAAAAAGTGTTGTTTGTTTCCTTTTGGTTGTGTTTGTGTTTTCTTAGTCATTCATTTTAAATCTTATGGGTAAACAGCAAAATAGCAAACCTCGATT